AAAAAAAAAGGATAGACATAGTTGTAGAAGTAGAAAGAGAGAAAGAGTGAGATAGAGATAGAGAGAGAGAGAGAAATTTAAAAAAAAAAAAAAACCAACGTAGTAGATTTCATTTTACTATTATATATGCCTGTTGATTATTATTATTATTATTATTATTATTATTATTATTATTATTATTATTATTATTATTATTTTGCTGCACGCATATTTTAAAATGACAAGATTTTTTTTTTCTTTTTCTTTTTTCTTTTTCGATAACCTTATTTAGATGATTAAAAATTATCTCGCTTAGGATTGAAGATTATTCGATATCTATGTGATACAATTTTTTTTCGCTTTTTGGATTTTATTTTGTTCTCATTTCTGTAAATTTTATATAACGCACATCCTCGCTTTTTTATTTTATTTTTTTAGATTAGTATTTGCTTTCTTTTAGAATAATTATCAGTTGAAACGAATGGATGTTTGATGATGATTATTATTATTAGTATTATTAGTAGTAGTAGTGATATTAATTAGCATGAATTTTTTCTTTTAGAATTTTGCGTTTGCACGTACAACTTTGTGTCAGCGCTTTTTTATTATTCGCATAGTATATATAACATACATAATTCATTTAGTTGTTTTTTTCCTTTTCTCATTTTATTTATCAAATTTATTAATTAGTATTTCGCAAAGTGTGTTATATGTATACGTATACATATTACATATGTATATATATAAGTTGTATGTAACACATATTACATGTGTGTACATATGCATTTGTATGAAATATAAATTAACGAATTTCAAAGAGTTTCTTTTCTTTTTTGCTTTGAGTTAATTTATTAATACGTATACAATCTTTTATTATTATTATTATTATTATTATTATTATTATTATTATTATTATTATTATTATTAGTAGTAGTAGTAGTAGTAGTAGTTTTTTCATTCAACTTTATGTTAATCGTTTTCATTCGTCTATTCTTCTTGTTTCTATTTCTTATGTAAGATTATTTTAGCATAATTAAATGAAAGAAATTTTTCTTATTTTATGATTTAACTTTAACTTGGGTCAGTAAAAAAGTCATTTCTTTATATATATATATATATATATATATATATTTTTTTGTAATATTCTTTTTATTTAAATAAATTATAGTAATTTGAGTTTTTATTGTTTATATCTTATCATATATATAATTAATATAATATTATAATAATATGTATATAAATTAATTTATAATTTATAATATTATAATGTATTATTTTTTTATTTATATTTAAATAATATATTATTAATTTATATATTTAATTTTATTTATATTATTTTTATATTAATATAAATTTTATATTAAATATATAATTAAAATTAATACATTATTATATTAAATAAGTTTATTAATTTAATATATATATATATAATTTCGTATACAACTGTTCACTTATTATATGATGATATTTCAAAAATAAGATAAATTATATCAAAACAAAAAAAAAAATATATAATTTACGATTTATGTGTAGAATCATTGATAAAACCTGTATGAATTTTGCAATAAACGTGGTAAATGAAGCGAATGGATGAGAAGATAAAGAGATAGTATTTATCAAGGCATATGAAAGACAATGTTCAAAGTCCACTGAGCAAATTTATGGTTTTGTCTGAGTTGGAACTTTTATGTTTGCATGTATCTATTTTAAGTAACATACATACATACATTTACATATATATATATATATGTTACTATTAAAATGTAATGCGTAAATCAGATGTGAGATAGAGAACAACATACGATTAATATCATTGCTTTTTCAAAGAATAAAAAAAATACAATCATTGTATAGACAAAAAAAAAACAAAGAAAGCAAATTTTATAAAAATAAATCAAAGTTCAATCTTCTTCTACTTTTAATTGAACTTGTTTTTCATGAAATTGATACTTTACTTTATAGTCTCAAGTTATATTTTAAAAAAACAACATAATTGGATTTTATTCAATTTAAATTCTTTTCTTATTTTCTTACGTTGTTTATTTTAGAAAAAAAAAAAAAAAATCATTTTTATATAACGAACAGAGAGAAGAGAGGATCGTGTATAATTTCTTTCAATAATATTTTCTTAATATAGATCTTACTCCAAGTTAATTTATTATTTTATTTTATACTGTATATACATCCATATAACTTCGAACAATTTTTAAATGTATGTATACATATGTATGTGTATGACTTAAAACATATATAGATATATATATGCCTGCATACATTTAATGCTCGATTTGCTATGTTTATTCTTACTCCCAAAGGAATCCGTTAGTCTGGTTAAAAATAAACTTAAATATCGTCGACCCTTGAGGTGCAATAGTGTACCTATATATATATATGTGTAATACATGGAATCGGGTCGCTATTTACATGTATATATATATATACATATATATACGCACACATGAATATAGATAAAAGTAATTGGTGTTTTGCCAAATTTGATCAAAGTTCTTCTTTATCTGTCCTATTTAAATTTTTTCCCCAGTGTCTATTTTTTATCTTAATGATTAGGTAACATATAATTTAGATAATTCTTCATTTATAATAATCTATAATTATAACACATTATGATACTATTTCTATTATTATTATTATTATTATTATTATTAATAATAATATATTGCTTTATATTTATTTATTTATACTTTTTAGTACGCATATTATAATGCTGCACGTTTGAAATGCAAGCATGAGATGCATCATTGCAAATATCTGCTTATTATTATATTAATGTTTATGAAACTAAACGAATAATAATTATTATTATTATTTTGTTTAATAAATTTACAATCTATCGTATCTTAAAACGTTTACTTTTAATACGTTCGTTCTATTACAATTTGTTTCAATATTTATTGTTATTCAAGAATTATAAGTATATATATATTTATTATGTAATTAATATATATAAATGATTTTTATTTATTTTATTATATTATATATTTATTTATTATAAATTAGTATATATATATATATATATATATATAAAAGAAAAAATAAACTTATTGATAAATTATTTTAAAAGTCAAAGACTTTTATCTTTCCACGAACGTATTAAAATAATATATCATTGAAAAAACATAAGGATTATATTATTAATAATTTGATTAAATGATTTTTCAGAGAAATGGAAAGCTTCTGGATCAGCACTGCGATCCACGCGATCAAAGCTTTATCGTACGTGTACGACCTGCTGACCTTTCCAGTATATCTCATCCTTCAACGGCCATGGGAAAAAAGAAAGGCCTCGAGAAGGATCAAAGCACGTCCCATCAGCAAAAGTGAAAATTCCATTACTTATAGAAGCGTTGATTCACCTGGTCCAATGCATATCAGACTTGAACGTGAAAAAGTTCAAACGCTTGAGGCTGTCCTGCTTTGGGTTAGTAAAATACACGGTGATAAAAAATGTCTTGGTACAAGACAAATACTTGCTGAAGAGGATGAGGTCCAACCCAATGGAAGAATCTTTAAAAAGGTGTGTTCTTTTATTTATATTATTTTGTGTTTGAACAAATTTGTTCCAATACTACTGTTTAGTAAATTAATATTTAATCGAAACGATTGAATGTTATTAATTATTTATATAAATTTCGACATTTTAAATACACACTCTTTAAAAAGGTCTGTTTGTTATTCTTTTGTTTTATTTATATTAATTTTATTATTATATTATATATATATTTATATTTATTTATTTTATGCTTGAACAAATTTAATTATTTCAATACTGTTTAGTAAATTAATATTTAATTGAAACTTTAGATATATTATTAATTATTTATATAAATTTTGACAATTTATTTACATAATTACAAGTGTAATAAATGCTTTATTTTATAATTTTCATTTGTGACAGTATAAAATGGGTGATTATAAATGGAAATCGTACGTGGATGTTGAAAGATTGGCGGCTTCCTTTAGTCGAGGATTGGTCGAGAGTGGTCTCAATGTACGTAAGAACATTGTAATTTTTGCTGAGACTAGGGCGGAATGGATGATAGCAGCCCACGCATGTTTCAAACAAAATCTCACGGTGGTAACGATTTATACGACACTTGGAGACGAAGCCATAGCTCATGGCATTAATGAGACTGAAGTTGACACAGTTATTACCAGTCATGAACTTTTACCAAAATTTAAACGACTTTTACAAATGGTACCCGAAGTTAAGAATATTATTTATATGGAGGATCAACTTAAACCAACCGATACAAAGGGTTACAAGGTAAATACGATAAATGTATTATCTAAATTAAATATAATTAATTTATGATTTTAATTTTATTCTAATTACATTTCTAATTAATTAAATTCTACATATTACTTTCAGGAAGGAGTACGACTGATACCATTCTCAGATATCATCAAAGTAGGCAACACGTCTAAAGTAGTATCAGTTTCACCAAAAGCCGAGGATACTGCTATTATAATGTATACGTCAGGTTCAACAGGTGTACCAAAAGGAGTATTACTTTCTCATAGAAATATCATGGCAACATTAAAAGCATTTTGCGACATGGTTGAAATTAGATCGGATGACGTTTTTCTTGGATTTTTACCACTCGCTCATGTTTTCGAACTTCTTGCCGAAAGTGTATGCTTACTTACTGGTGTACCTATTGGTTATAGTTCACCTCTTACCATGATTGATTCAAGTAGTAAAATACAACGAGGTTCCAAGGGTGATGCTTCGGTTCTTCATCCAACTTGTTTAACTGCAGTACCGGTAAAATATTTCATTTTTTCTTATCATTAAATATTTGATTATATAGAATAAGAAAGGATTATTATAAAATAACAATTATTATTACTTTTAGCTTATACTAGATAGGATATCCAAAGGTATTAATGAAAAAGTGAAAAAATCTGGACCCTTCAAACAAGCGATCTTTAATTTTGCTTATCATTATAAATTAAAATGGACTAAACGCGGATACAGTACTCCTTTGTTCGACAAATACATCTTTGGTGCAGCCAGACAGATTCTTGGTGGTCAAGTGAGAGTTATTCTCTCTGGTGGAGCACCTTTAAGTCCTGACACTCACACTCAAGTTAAATTGTGTCTGTGTGTCATCGTTATTCAAGGATATGGTCTTACGGAAACTTGCTCTTGTGCTACCGTCATGGATAGTACGTGTTTTAATGTCTTTCATATTAAATGAATATTATTATATTATAAATGTTCTTATATTATTTATTCTTTCATATTTTATTTATAGCATATGATAGAAGTACTGGAAGAGTTGGAGCACCAACAACAGTTTGTGACATTCGTCTTGAAAATTGGGAAGAAGCTGGTTACAGAGTAACCAATTTACCAAATCCAAGGGGTGAGATCGTTATCGGAGGTGAAAACGTCTCCTCTGGATATTATAAGTTACCTGAGAAAACAAAAGAGGATTTCTTCCAGGAGGATGGCAGACAATGGTTCAGAACTGGTGATATAGGTGAAGTCCATCCCGATGGTTCCATAGAGATTATAGGTAATAATAATACATAAAACAATTCTTCAATATCGTTTAATTTTGTTATTTGTTATTTTGTCAAATGTCATACGCATATTAATTATTGATTTTAGATCGCAAGAAAGATTTGGTTAAATTACAAATAGGTGAATATGTTTCATTGGGTAAAGTAGAAGCAGAGTTAAAAACCTGTCCAGTTGTAGAAAACATATGCGTTTATGGTGATCCAAGTAAATCTTATACAGTAGCACTGATAGTACCTAATCATCATACACTCGAAGAGATAGCTGCTAATCTTGGAATTACCGGTAAAACTTTTGAAGAATTATGTAACGATCCGAAGGTAGAAAAGGCAGTACTTCAAGAGTTGGTTGAACAAGCTAAGAAATGTAAGAGGATAATCCTTTTGGATTATTATTATTTAATTGTATCGTCCTATTTTATATAATCACTATTCAACTCATTCTTTTTTTCCTATCAGGTCAGTTACAAAAGTTTGAAATACCTGGAGCAGTTAAACTTTGTCCAGAACAATGGTCACCCGACATGGGCCTTGTAACAGCTGCGTTTAAACTTAAGAGAAAGGCCGTACAGGAACGTTATCAACATGAAATCAACAGAATGTATGCTTCGTGATGTCGAACAAAAATGTGTACGAAGTGTAAGAAGTAATTTGTATAAAAAAAAAAAAAAGAAAAAAGAATATGAAAGATAAAAAGAAACAAACAAACAAAACCAAATGTCTAAGGAAGAAAGAAGATGGCCATCCTCGTCTGATGGGAAAGTAGTATAACTCGACAAAACTTTAGACACTATTTTTTCTGATAAACATGAAGGAATAATTTTAACAAATAAGAACACAACAAACAAAGTAAAAGTAATCACAGATTATTATTAACAAAAGGGAACGAATTTAAAAAGTCCTTGTACTTGAATGAAAAAGTTTAAAAAGCTTTGTAGCATCTTTTTGTTATTATTTGTCTTCCGATAGAAAATGCAGATTTTGATTTGTGTTTTTTCATCATCTTTTCTATATATGTATATATAAATATATATGAAAGGGATTTATTTCTAGGAGACGTTTTATCTCTCGATGAATATATATATTATATGCTATTCAAATTTTCAACGCGTATTAATATGATATGCAAGGACGGACGATTCTATTGAGAATATATTTTTATTTAAATATGATAAATATAATCTTGATACAAACGGTTAAATGAATTGAGAAGGAATGAGCCTAGTAAAATAATTAATTAAATAAATAAATAAGTAAATAAATAAATAAATAAATAAATAAATAACAGTAAAGTGTCGAGAGATATAAAAAGCCGAGATGGTGGAGGAGAGCTATAATAAAAAATAAAAAATAAAATAAAATAAAAAAAAATAAAAATAAAAAAGAAACAAATGGTGCAGGACGAACCCGTCCTCTATTATTATTATAATTAATATAATTATTGTTATTATTATTACTATAAACAGTAGGGAAACAAAGGACATCACTATGTAAGATTATTTCTTTATTTATGTTATTATTTCTTTTCTTTTGTCGATAACGATGACGACGATGGTGATGATAATGAAGATGATAATGAAGATGATAATGATAATGATATTTAATATACCGTTTAATTATAAATGTCTCAACGATTTTGTCTGAACAGTAGTTTTAACGTGCGGATCAATCGAGGATGAAAATTCTCTAAAAACGAACTGATCGCGTAAGTTCACGAATTTTACTGTGTACTTACTTGAAGTATTTATAAGTAATAGCCGAGCTTAAGGATAAATGGAAGAGGGCTACTTCAAATAAACAAATAAATAAAATAAAATAAAATAATTCAAATAAAATAAAATAAAATAAAATAAAATACAACCAAACAAAACCCAAAAAAAAAGAAAAAACAAGTAAAATAAAGAAATAAATTGTAATTTATTTCAATTAACATTGACATATATATATATATAATATAGAAAAGAGAGAGAGAGAGAGAGAGAGAGAGAGCGAGAGAGAGAAAAAACGAAAAAAGAATGAATGACTTTTGCTAGAAAGAGATAAAAGGTGTACATTATTAAACGAAACAATAAAATATATATATATATATATATATATATATATATATTTTTTATATATATATATAATATATGTATATAATATATATATAATATATATATATATATAAATAAAATTGGAAAGCATTTAAAGTCGTTGTCAGATTTATGAGTTAAAAACTTTGTACATTTTGATTTATGTATGTTTTTTTTGATTTGAAAATTCTTAACTTTTTTTTCGGTAATATAAACAAAATTATAAATCTATGTCAATTTGATATAATCATAATTATATTTGTCTGATGATATATTTATATGTCTATTAAATCAAAAAAAAAGAGAAAAAAAGAAAAAAAGAAAATAAAAAATACCCTGCTTACATTTTGCAACGTTGATATATCAAAAAAAAAAACATTTACTTCCATAACAAATTTCGATGATGAATGTCCTTGTAATATGAATACATATTTACATACACACCAAAGTCAATATATTTTTTCGTTGGTCATGTATTTTTTTTCGGTTTTTTTTTTGTTCTTATCACAAGGTATGTGTGCTGCTGTGTATGTATGTATGTATGTATGCATGTAAAAGTAAGTAAATAAATAAGTAAGTATGTGTGTCGGGATCGATTTGTTCTCTCTTATTTAATTTGTATGTATGTATGTATGTACAAGTTGAGATAATTATTATAAGAAAAAGAAAAAGAAGAAAACAACAAATAAAAAAAAAAGAAAAAAAAAATATAAGAGAAGGAGAGAATACAAAAAAAGAAAAAAAACCGTGTCTCTTACGTAAGATTTCATTACGAATGTGTGTATSAGTGTATGACTCTGTGTGTGTGTGTTGTGTGTGTCTGTGAAAATACATGCACGTGTTGATTTTAGTCTTCCCGTTTTACATAAATAATTCTGTTGAATTTCTTTGCTCCAATTGATATTAAAAATAATGTAATTAATTATTCGTGAATCTAAAATGTTTCTTAATAAAATTCAAATAAAATATTAAAAAAAAAAAAAAAAATATTTTCTAAAAGTAATTAAAAACGGGGGAATAATAAAAGAAAAGAAAAGAAAAGAAAAGAAAAAGAAAGAAGTACCAATTGCATCTCCATCGTCAAAATGTTCTTTCTCTTCTACACAAAAAAACGAAAAAAAAAAGAAGCACATTATCTATAAAAATATGACGCAAATTATTATTAATTATTATTGTATAGATAGTAATTAGAACATTTGATTTTTTTTCAGTTTTACATTTGAAATATTTCTATTAAAAATTATTGAATTAATACAACAAGGTGATGATGATTATGATTGTTACGTTCAGAACTGAAAAATTAATTTCAACAAAATTCAAACGAACAATACGTCTTTTTTTCTCTCTTTCATTTAATAATTAAATATGATTATAATTAATTATTTATTACCATTCGATTTAATTTGAGTTTGCCCATTTTTTTTTGTTAATTTGTACCAAAAAAAAAAAAAAAAAACAATACATATA